GATGCTGTAGCTGATGTTAGTATTGGAAAGCAACAGCAAACAAAAGATAGCATTTTTTCGAACATTATCTTCTTCTATTCATATAATAAATAAATGAAAAGAATTTTTGTTGATTTTTTTTTCTAATTTTCATCCAAGTAAATGTAACTAGTTATATATTTCTTTTTTTTAAAGATATGTGAGATAGAGCAAACTAACAGTAGGCAACACAGAAAAGTATGACTATAGCAAAGAATAAATATAAGACGATGAATATATAATCAAATCACGCTGATGTGAAAGCATAGAAAAATACTAGTGACTGGTGAAACATATATAACGACAAACTTGAATCATCAATATCACCAGGTTTTGACAAATTAAAGATAAGGATAGGAAAAACAAACAGAAAAAAAATGACTATGAATTTATTGACAAATACAAACAACTACTGCATAAAGTATACATTACAGTTTTTTTTTTTTAGTTTTTTTTTGTCAATGAGAAAAAAGAAAATTATAGAGAATATAAAAATGGATATATAAGAGAGATATGACTTTTACATGAACAATAACAATCAGACCAATACATACAAAAAAAAAAAAAGAAAAAAATTAAATAGAATAAAATGCGAATGTATGTGGATTGCTTTTTAAAAAAATGTCTGTGATTGTATTCAATAAAATATAATGACGGCTAGCAACACACAATGTGATGCATTCAATGAGAAGAAAAAGGGGATGGGGAACAGGGACTAATTTAAAAAATCATAATCGTTGGTGCTCGCTTATGAGTAAATTTATATATGTATCTGCATTTCGGCACCATCATAATCATCTTCCTGATTGGACTTCATGCGAGATGATGCTTTGATATGATGATCATCATTGTTCTAGAAAATGGATAAAATTTGGAAATATACAGAGTGGTCCATAAGTAGTCTTATGATAAAAAATTTAAATATTGTCATTCTGTTCCAGTCTACGAGGCTAAATTTTTTTTCCCGTAATAGAAGACACTTCAGAGCTTTTTCATAATGAAAGTTACTTTGGTTTGCATCTGGTCTATCCTTGCTGGTGTTCGTCACTATAAAGATTTCGAAATTTTAGATTCAAGTTATGACCTATAAGGTCGCAAAGTTCTTGTATAGAAAAATCGCTGAAGTTTTCTCGATCATGCAAAAAAAATTTAGTCTCATAAAATAGCACTGATTCAAGTTTATATTTATCGTAAAGCTACTTATAGACCATCCTATATATAGAAAAATGGAGAAAAACTGTTTTGTCGTTCGATTCAATCTGTTATCAGAAAAATAATCCACATACATCGCTAAAAACTATGAATGAAGTGACTTTCTACACACTCACTTTATTTGTTGTCAAATAATTTTATATTAAATTTAATAAAAGATAAGGATATTGTTTGTTTTTTTTTGCTTTTAATTCTACTTACATGGATTATGTGTATCGATTGGTTGTACATAAGTTGATGGAATTAAGCCAACTTGATTACCAAAACGAGCTTTAAACCATCCACTAGTATTTGCTTCATGTAATATTTCTAAAATAGCATCAGCCGGAAAACTTAATTCATCATCTTGTTGAGCTTCATATGGAAATATAGCCATATATTGAGGTAATTCTAAAGAAAACATCAAATATGTTAGATATATGTAAACGAAATTATCATTGAAAAGAAAAGAAATTAATTCATTTTTTTTTTGTTGCCGTTTACTTAATGTATTTTGATGTGAAGTTGTCGATGATAATGATGTCGATGAAACAGCTTCTTGTATTTGTACACAATTAGCAGGAAACCAACCAACACGTACTGACTGATCAGGAAGCTTTTATAAAGAAAAATGTTTATATGAAAATTCGAATGAAAGAAAAGAAACTTGTTATTTACTCGAATTTCTCCTTCATACCATCCTTTATCATCTTTTTTTGTTATATAAATAATTTGACCTTGTTCAAATGATAAATGATGTTCTTCTGTAGCTTGAAATGGTGTTATTACAATAGCTGTTTCTTGTACTTTATTAACTTTTTGAACATAATTATTTGGAAATAATCCTGTACGATCACCAATTTGTCCTGTCCACCAATCACCATCACATTTTAATACAATAATACGGTCACCAACATCAAATGATAAATCTGATGAATCAGTTGCTTCATATGAATAAATAGCTTCATATATATCAGCTTGAGTATTTCAATAGAAAAAAAATGAATACTATTATTAAATCATTTATATTGAAAAAAACATTCAAAAAAAAGTAGCAGAAAGTTATCTCCTAGTCTCAAAAACTATTAAAAGATTTAGTAAGTAACGTCAGGCTATTGAATATTGATTTAAAAATCAAACATTTTTTTTTTTGTCTTATCGAATTAAAATTGATTAATATTACCATTATCGACATCATTTGATGGTTGATCATTAGAAATTGGTGAATTCAGAGGTTTTTCATCTGTTGATGTATTCCTAAATAGATAGAAAAATATTCATTCAATCAATTATTTATTCATATCAATGTATAAAGTTTATTATATTCGGGGTGATATCTAATATTAGTAGAAAAGCATCTTAAAAAAAATTAAAAAAAAAAAACCATTTGAATCCTATTAATTACTATGAGTATACTCATCCACGATATGCATATTATTTGTTAATAATAATTTAGTAATTATCTGTTAGATAAAGTCGTATATGATTATATATAACAATATTGACAAGAAATCAATTTACTTTGTTAAATTTTTATTATTTTCTATTTCAATCTCAGTTGCTGGTCGAACATAATTTCGTGGAAACCAACCAATCTTAAAATGAAAGTTTTTTTTATTTGATTTTAAAATAAATAATAATAAAAATTCAAGATTTACTTTGTCATTAAGTTGACCACTATACCATGTTGCATCTTTTTGTTCTCGTACGAGAATAAGTTCATCTTTTTGAAATGATAAATGTTTATCAACTGTTTTGCCTTGACATTCTGCTAACGTCATCACCCATGATCCAGACTACAAATCAAATTATACCATAAAAAGAAAACAATTGATCAATCAATTTATCATACTGATAATGGTGATGTTGTATCAACAGCATTACTTGATGGTGATGGTCTATATGAAAAAGAAATAAATATTATCATGCATAATATCCAAGAAATTACAGAGAAAGAGTTTTATATGTTGAAACAGTTTCCTATCTAATTTCTTGGTTTTCCGAACTTACGTTATACGTTCAGCATAAACTGCAGGAAAAAATCCTTGTTTATCATTACCAATTTGACCAAATAACCAATGCTCATCTTGTTGTTTACTTGGATCAACCTGAAAAAACCGAAAATAATTTAATCTTTTGTTCTAAATCAATCAATTTCCGAAGAATGGCATACACAAAAAAAAAGAAATAATTCATTGTTTAAAAAATTCATAGAAAAAAAAGACATGCTCTGATAAAATAAAGAAAAAGAATATCATGCTGAATTTTTTCTCTTTATATCAAAAGAAAAACTTGCCTCATTTGATTTAGTCTAAAAGTGATCGTTCAGTTTTTTTTTGTCTACTAAGAGAATTAAATTGATTAACTTACTATTATTATATCACCACTTGATATCGAAATTTCATCAGGACGTTCAGGTGTATAGTCATATAATGCACAATATTGAACTGTATTTAAAGTAAAACTTTTCATGAAATTCTTTTCTTTTATTATGTAAATTTACTAACCAGTTGCTGAGTTTCCATTAGAAACATTTGTTGTTTCTGGCCATTCACTTGTTGTACCAAATGGTGAACTTGAATTATTATTAAATTGTGCCCAATCATTTCCATTATTATTCGTAGTTGCTGATTCTCCCCATGGATCAATATTGGATGATGTTTTTGATGTTACTGTGAGAAAAAAAAAGACAAGTTTTTCGATAAAGAACAAAATAAGATCAAACTTTTATTATTAGGATTTGCTTTTGGTGCTGCTTTCTTTATTCTTGGTGATGCTATTGGAGGTAAACTTTCAGTTGGTTCATTTTTCGGAAGAAATGGATCAGCTACTGTTGAAGTATGATTATCTTTTGAAGGTTGAAACCAATCATTATTTGCTGTTGTTGAACTTATATCAGCATGAGAAGCAAATGGATCAACTGTTTGAAACGGATCAACATCAACAGTAGGTGGAGGAGATGTAGTTGGTGGAATAACAGATAAGGAAGAAGATAGATCAGAAGATTGATTATTTAAATCATTGTTAGATATATTAGCATTAAATTGATCAAAATTAGCTATGAATAATGAACACAATGTTTTATTTATATGCTTATAGATATGTAGAAATACTTACCGAATTCAGCAGGTGGATTTGTTGGTAATGTGACAGTGCTAGAAGATGAAAAATGGCTACGTATGTTTCATATTGAAAAATATATGTAATAAATACTTTAATGGTATATTAACTTTAGCTTCTTGCTCAAGTTGATCAAGTTGAAGACGAAGTTGCTAAATAGAAAAGATATTTTTTAAATAGTTTGTATAAAATAAAACAAACCTCCATTTGATTTTGATATTCTTTACATTGATCAGTTATTGTTATGATCTGTTCGTCTATTTGTGTATTTTCTTGTTTCATAGTTTCAAGTTGAGTTTGTAAATATTTAATTTGATCCGATTCTCGATTACTCATACCTTTCAAAAATGAGACAAATTTAATGGTCATCATTTATTCAAATTATGTTACAATATTGAACAAAATTTTTTGCAAGATCTCGTGAATTAAGTTACTTTTTTTTTCAGACTTGTTCTAAAAAACTGAACGTATATGAATGGAAAAAGGAGGGCATGAACTACATTTTGGTAAATAAAACTGTTTACCAGCATATTGCCTATTATATAATTTTTTTTCTTTCTAAATATTACATTCAAAAGCATCTTTCATGAAATTTCAAACTATCTGCTACCTTATGCAGTGTCCGATACTCCTTTGAATGTGATGTTGAGACAGAAAAATGGTCAAGAGTTCACATTATAGGTTCAGGCTTTCTAGTACTCTGAAAAAAAAAATTATTAGAAAAATATCGATCGTTGAAATAGTTCTATTTCTTTTTTTTTTTTTATCAAGTTTCATAGAAAACACTGAACTTCATTCTTCACATCGTACTTTTTAATAATGAGATCAAATGGAAATTGCTAGTTATGCTTCCACTAACTCACATTTCAGTTTTCCTGTGATCTATAAGAATTTGATTTTGATTACTAAGCTAATTATATAATTTATCAAGATCATGTTGATTGAAGAATTCAAATGTAACTTTCATATTATAAAAGTAAATTTCGGGTACAATGACAATAAAATTAAAATATCGAAGAAATTAATGCGGAATAAGAAAATATTAAGTAACAACTATTCTTATGATTAACAAAAGAATATTATGTTTGTAAATGAGAAATGTAAACTGAAATTTTCTTTTTTTTTCTTACTAAATTCTATGGATTGCGTAAGTTGATTTAATGATGAATCAAGTGATTCACGTTCTGCTTGTACAGTATTGAGTTGTTTTTTTAAATCTTTTATTTGTTGTTCAGCATTATCGTAGAGACTTTTTTCTGTCATTATATTTCGTTGTATATCAGCTATTGATTCATCAATTGTATGTATATTTGTTTCTATTTGATTGACTTTTGTTTGACATGTTTGCGTTGTATCATCTATACTTTCTAATTCAAATTCAAAAGCTTTTTCACGAGATTTTAAATCATTGATCTGTTCAAGTAAACGAGATTTTTGTGTTGATAGTTCTTGCATACGTTGACGTTCCCATTCAAGACGACTTTTACGTTCCATTTCTTTTCGTGCTGCCTAAAATATTACATACAAAACTGTTAGTACAATGCCTGTGGGATTAAAATGTGAAGTACGATCTAGTTGCTGTTACTAATCACAAGAGATTGCTTTATTCTATTTTATTTTAGGACATATTTCTTCACCTTTTTGTTATTTAATCTTTCGAAAATGTAATAAAGGCAAGTAGTTCATATATAAGAACAAAACGTTTTTGATATACGGTCTCTGATCGTGTAACAATAAACATTTAACACGGTCTGAAACCTAGAACCAAACCGGAATGACAGAGAAAAACACTGTAACCATTAAATCATCAGATGGATACAAAAACTTTTAAACTTATGTCGAAAAATCTTCATTTTGTTCATTATTGAGATGACAAATTTCAGCATTTATTTGTATAATATTGTTTCATTTAAGTACTGAAATATGTGGTGTCTTTAATCTCAACAATTCAATAGTAAAAATTTCTTAAAATAAATTTAAAATTTTTCGTATCTATCTCATAATTTAACAGTTTCAGTTCCATGTAATATCTTGGAAGTCGAACCGGAACTACTTTTTTCTCATTTTTAGTAACCGAAATCGAAGCTGTGCTTCCGGTTCCGGATGAGTTTTGGAGTCACTGAACTTCATAACAAAAAAAACGGAAAAGGTTATGTCTGGCACTAGAAATTGATATTTGTATACAAATGATTGCATACTGTAATCATGTGCCATATAGAACTTCGAATTGTTTATGCATAACGCATGAACGATGAAGTATAGAATTGATTCTTTAGCATGGATATGACTCAAACTCGTCTTATTGAATATTAAGACGTGATCTCCTGATCCATGCGAATAATATCTTCTGTTTTTTTTTTAATTTTATTATATTTACCTCACGTTGTTCATATAATTTTTTTCGTTCTTCTTCTTTTTGTTGTTCAATTTGTCGTTGTTTTTCTAATTGTCGGTCAATTTCCATTTGTTTTTTACGTTCTTGTTCATCTTTTTGTTTTTGTATGTCAAGTTCACGTTTACGTTCTAAATGAGATTCGAACAGTTAACCTCGCACATATATAAACATATAACAATGACTAGGACCATTCAACTATATGAATCGATTTATTCGAGATAAAAATCTATTTACCTCGTTCTTCCCGTTCTTTTTGTTCACGTTCCTCTTGTTCACGCAGTAATTGTCGACGTCGTTCTAATTCTCGATTTCCATCCTAAATGAAATCTTATTATGACAAAACACAAGAAAAAAAAATTTTTTTTCTTGACAATTTACTTCATAATTTCTCAAACGTTTTTCTTCATATGTTGCCATAATAATTTTTCGTTCAGCTTCTGTTGTTTCATTAGAACGATTAACTGATGTATTTTCAGTTGTATTTGTTAAAATTAATGTTTCTTTAAGTTGTTGATTAAGACTAGCAAATGTTCGATTATCATTCGATTTCGATGATGAATCTTTTCGTTCATGTTGTATTATATTTTTTTGTAACCATTCATCAGGAAATTGTATGGGTAATGCTTGACCTGTGCGTGCTATGTCACAACAATGCATTGCAACAACAAATTCATCTGGTGTTAAACAACCATCTTTATCATAATCAGCTAAATCCCTATTACACAAATTATAATATCGAAAGAAATTCATAAGAAAACTATTATTGTTAGAATTAATTAAATAAATAAATGAATGAAGAAATTCAAGATTCAATTGTTATATTTTGTTACTTCGGAAATTCGACGAAATTATAGTGAATAAAACAAAGAGTACTCTTATCATCTTAATAATTCAATTTTGCTTTTATCTTCCTTTTCAATTATGTAATTCCATCTTAGACATCCCGATTGTTTCGAACGAGAATGACATCATTTATTTTTCTTATGATTTTATACAAATAATAATATTTGACATGGTTGTATCTTGCATAGCCGAGGGTAAAATTCGATTCAAACGAATGTTCAAACAATAGATAAAATTTGTTTTTGAACAAGAAAGTTTTAAATTTTACACGCAACATATAACAAAAATAAACAGATATATGAAAGTATTCTGAATAATTTATGCATGGTTTGATCTTTTATATCAACTAAATCTTTTCACTTCGATAAGTATTCTCATTTTGTTGCTATTAAATTAATTTAAGCTGACAATAGAAAAGAACAAAGAATCGTTAGAAAAGATCTACTATAGAAAGACCGAAAAGGAAAAATATCGAAAATTTTAACTAACAAGACATTCTCTATTATTAGCATAAGGGGTGTGAACTTCTAGTCTTTTCTTCCACTACACCCACATTCTTGTCGATATTTTTTTCTTTCGGCCAATCGTTAAGACTCTATAAAAAAAAGTAATATTTACCATATTTGATGAAGTAGAGCATTCGATAAACCAGTTTGTTGAAGAATAGTTTTTGCTTGTAAACCACTCATTAATCCATTTGTTTTTGTTACATCAACAATCGAATGAAATTGTTGAATATATTTCGATCGAATTGTTGGTGTTAATGGTACAAGTAAAATATTATTTGGGCTAGTTGTTTTTAAAATAAGTCTAAAATAATCTAATTTATTAAAAACAAAACAATCAAAGTTAAATTTTTCTTCATTTACCCAGTAAATTGACCTGTTGGTAAAGGTTGAGTGGGAGCTAAAAAAATATTTTATTTTTGATTATGAAATAAATAGAAGAAAAAAATAATGAAGAAGTTATATCAAAGCATTATTTTTGGTTAATATTGGCTGTGTTTATTTAAATCTATTTGTGTATTCAATCTTACCACTACAAGAATTGAATATTTCTTTAATGTAAATGATTTCACTGCAAAGATGTTTTCTTTTTGTTTCATATCTGATAGGAAATAAGAAATGAGTTTGAATAAAATCACTTACCATTGGTTAATAATGGTGATGCAGTTACAGATGACATACCATTCGTTGTTACTCCTGAATCTGAAAGAAGACTAGGTGGAAGAATAGTTGGTAATGATCCTTTTTTTTGAACCTAATTCAAACGATTTGAAAAGAAAATATTTCAATATATTGTAATAAATTAATTACTTGAGATGATATTAAATGACATGCAATAATAAATTCTCGTGCATCTAAACGACCGTCAGCTGATATATCAGCCAAATCCCTAGAGAATAATCAATTATTTTTCAATAAAATATTAACTATAAATATACCAAATTTTTCGAAGAATATCTCCAGGTAAATTTGATTTAACAAAAAAATCTCTTGCTTGTTCACCTTTTAAGAAAAAAAAAAAAACGTTCCATATTATTAATACAATTTTCTTTTCAAAAAGAATAAAAAGCAAATCCTACCCGTAAGATAACCTTGGATCGGACCACATTGTTGAAAGTATGATTCATATCTTAGTCGTTCATCGGCACTTATTTTCCAATCACCTTAAAATATCATTTTTAGTATCATTATTCATTTTTATTAACAATATTATCTTACTGGCCGCCATTTAGAAATCTTTTATATTATCTCATTATGAAATAAAATTTGTATCAAATAAAAAGGAAATTTCAATGTAAAAATCTAAAGAATAGAAAATATAAAAATATGTGAAGAACAATAAAACAAGTTAATTAATTTTCTTGAAAAGCAAAAAAAAATAATAACAATCATTTACTGTTCGGTAAAAAAAATATATATATATATGTAGAGAAGAAAAAGATCGATCATTGATTCATCGGAGGAAACTATTCTATGGAAAAAAATATGGTATTAAGTTCGCAGATGTCACTCAAGAACAATAGTTCTACTTAGCAAACTTCTTTTGTTATACAAATGTTAGGCGGGTTATTATTTGTATTTTAATTTATTGTCTTTTTTTTTTGTGTGTAATATGTTATTGTCTGATAATGGGTTGTGCGATTCATAAATCATCAAAAATATTACTTAAGAAAACAGATTTAATCGAATTACAAAAATATCCTGAAGAATTAAATGAAAAACGTATTAAAATTCTTCAATGGATGGAAAATGATTTAGAATTAAAAACAAAATTAAATGATTATAATAAAATTAATTGGAAAAAGATTAAAGAAAATGAACAACTATCATCTTGGCAAGAAGCATGGCAAAGAGAACAAGAATTAGTTAAACATCCCTCCATGGTTGATTCATGTGAATCAAAAATGCCTTGTATTACATTGATTGATGAAAATTTACGATTGTTATGTGATGAAAAAGTAGACATATTTTGGAAAGATTTTGAAAAATCAGATGTATCAAACTAAAAAGAAATCTTATTTTCTATCATGATGCAAATATCATCAGCATATATTGAGTATGAACATAATTCGGATGAGTTTATCATAGTAGACTGCATAATGATCTAATTAAAAGCAAAAAACATCTAATTAAGTTTAGCAAAGAAATATGCCTACAGACAGATTTGTTTTCAAGATGATAATTAGAAGAAAAAAAAAATAATAAAAAGTTTTAATTTTTACTATAAAGTGTTGAATAATACACAATATCTGAATATTTTTGAACGACAATGAAATATATCCGAATAGGATTTATTTGAAGGGTATGTATATTTATAGAAAATGAATTAAGCGAAAAACTACGATCAACAATATATACAATAAGACTAGAAATTAAAAAATCTATTAGTATACAAGTTAGAAAAAGTTAACTACTAGAAAATGATGAACACTTCGAATAAGATAAAATTATTGTTAGAGTCAAGTTATCTTTCTAATTGGTAGATAATTTTCTCATAATATTCATTACTGACATCGAACAGCTAAACTATTTCTTATGCAGTTTCTAACTTAATATATAGCTTCATTAAAATAAATATTATTTAAATATTCATTAAGATTACTTATGGATAGTTCCTACATCACTGGTTCTTTAGTCAACATCAATTATCGTTATATCGTAAGTACCCTTGTTATTGATGTTGCATTCAGAAGAATTTACAAATTTGATCAGCACTTAGAACAAATGAATCAACACATCGTTTGTTCGACTAAAATAAACTATCACATATTAAATTAGACTTTAAAAACAGCATACAAATATATTATCAAAAATAACACAAAAGAATTTCATTTTCAGATAATTAAAAAAAAACCTTTGTGTATATTTATTAATGAAGCATTTATGTTTATATTATTATTTTGAATAATAACTTTCAATAAAGTAGCGATCACTTAATCGAAAGTAAAAAACCAAATAACTCTAGGCTTTCTTCATTTCGAACTCATAAGATTAAAAAGAATTATGAAAAAAAGTCTCAATAAACAGTAACAAGAAGAAGAAAAGGTTAAATAGCATTCTTGGCAAAGCTCTTTGATTGATTGCAAATGAAGTATTAGAAAACCGACAAGAAATTTTTTTTTATTATTAAACTGACTAGATGAAGACCAGTTGAGTTGATACCAATCGTATTTGTTTGCAAATTGATTTGATCATGCGATGAAATTGTATAATATGAAAGAGTTTTCATCAATTATTACTATTGATGAAAGAAATCTAATAATAGAATAAGAAATATTAGCTTGATGAAAAGAGAAGTTGTTGGTACTATCTATGAATGAAACATTCTACTTAGCTAATGATCTTTCAACAAAACTTCGGTATTATTATATTGACAATTTTTTATTATACGAAGGTTATCAAAAGATAGTGAAATGTCAAGTCATGTGTTTATAGTCCGACTCCCATGAGTAGGGTTAAAATTACAAATATAAATATGAATAATCATGTAATTATAAGAGTGTCGATGTTGATCATTAAAATAAAGTGTTAAAACATGTTTCATAGATAAATATTTAAATAAAAGGTGTGATGATGCATAAGATACATTATCATTAAATAAATGTGTAAAAATTACGAATAACTAACAGAAGAGATGATTATTGTCTAAATAGTCAAAATCTATTTTCTGTTTTCATCACATTTGAACTTTTGAGATGAAATTGACTTGAGTCTATATTTTGGTTACAGTCAATAGTTTTATTTCTTATAAAACAATAGCTTATTTGAACATTTCTAGTTCCAAAGTAAAGATGAAACGCATAAAAAAAAGAATGATAGCATCTAGAGACTTTAAAAAGTTTTAAAAAATTGCATTAAAATAATGAAACCGACATAAAACTTAATGTTTTTCAAGTTCATTAATTAAAATGAATATTTTCATCAGTTTAATTCCATGATTTTGATAAAAAAATTATTTTCATTCCATTTGTTTAATTAAAATGTTCATTCTTATCACGAATTTTTGTTTTCAGTTTTTAATTCCATAAGCTATTGATAATATAAATTGATTCATTACCAAGAGAAGTATCTGGTAAGATTGCTTGAGAAAAGAAGCATAACTGAAATTCCAATAACGAATCAAGTGATTTTAAAAGAAGATTTAAATAATAAATAATCAAAAAATCTTCCTGTTTTTTTCCAATTTGAGTGTCAGCAGAAAATATGATTGATTTCATCATAAGAATATCTGCATTCTGTTGTATACCAGACGCTGCATTGGCAAGATGTCATGGTTTTTTCAATTCTTTTAACCTTGTCTAACTGATGGAATTTTAAAATAATCCAGAGCTTTGAAAATTAATCATATATTTAATATTACTTATTAATCTAACTTTAAAGACAACCAGTTCTGAAAATGTACTTTGTACTTTCAAGAATTTTTTAATAACAATTTCAATGTCAATTGGAGTAAAATTGTTTTTGACACACTATTGAATATAAAAAAAGAAGATTTTCGTGAGATTGAATCGTCTGTAATAAGATTATATGGATTTATTGAATCATTACTAATCCATAGTGTATTCTCAAGCAGAAATAGTCGATATTGGCAGCTGCTTGAATTGAATCGATAAGAAGATCAAGTCTAATGACAAATCATAGAAATATTTTTTTTCTTAGTTATTACTAATGAAATATCAATATCAACGCTGTTTTATAGGTATTACATAATTTGCGACTAATTTTTCTAAATTAGCAATGTGCATCCACAAACACGAAAAAATTCTGCTTTAATCAAAAAAGATCAATCAGCGGAATCCGGCAGTAGCTTTAAGTTGTTTCTATTAATAGAATATAAGCTTTCAGTAGAGATTGCAATTAGCCTATAAAAAGTAATCATGTTAAAAGCATTTTGTTGTGCTGAAATATAGATTCAACTCATATGATTATTTCAAGTATTATTCTTTTTTGCATTTTACAAATTCAAGATATTGTATGAAAATTCATGATATATTCTCATTCAGATAGAAGACTTCAAGTATGATGAATAAATTCACTGAAAAAGACGGAAGTACGAAATTATGAATCAATGCATTATTTATCACATATTGATTAGGTATTTTTGTTGTGAACATCAATATATTCTTCATAGTCAATAATCTAACAAAATAGTTTTATTTCAAAAACAAAACAATAACAAAAAATAATTTGAAAAGAAAAACATTTCATATGAGACATTTTAAATACTTTTTATGACTAGAACTTAAATTAGAAAATGTTTTTTCAATTTGTATCAATACACATTTTTTATTTCGTATATAATCACGAAAAATAAATCGGCATATTTGTTTTAATGATAAATATTTATCATTATTTTTCTTATCTATTTTCAATAAGATATTATTTATATTAAACATCGTACGTTTAACTAATAGATATTCATTACTTTGATGAAATATTTCATCAATATAATGATCACATTCATTTAAACGAATAAGATCTATTTCAGTTGGCTCAAAACAACAATGTGTTATAAGATAAGTAAATAATTGTATTTGTTTATTAATTAAATCATATAATGCTCGTAATAAACGTGTATGAAATTTAATTTGTAAATCAATTAATAATTTATTATGTAATTGTATTAAATAAAGATAAATTGGTTCAAGAATAAGTGTAAATGAAGATATAAATGATATATTATCATAAAATATATAAAATGGATTAAAATTAGCATATTCAATAAGTAAACGAAAACATTCAATTGAACCACATGGACGTAATGATTGATTTTTAAACCATTTTATATTATATTTATCAATACTAACTTGACGATGCTCAGCTAATAAACAAAGATTAAAAATTTGTTGTTTTTGTTGTTGAGTTAAATAATCAAATGTAAAAGATTTAAATTGAAATAAAATTGATAGAAGATCAGAACGATCATTACGAATAATACATGCTAATGGTATTTCATTTTCATATGCTTCTAATTCACGTTGAATTAAATGACGTGGTTCATCATGTAATAAATAATTGTGTGATTGATTTGAACTACTAATACCATCAAGTGATGCATATGGAAAATATTTTAAAATTAATTTTAGAATATTACCATCACCTTAACGAAAGTTTTATATAAAATTAATATATATATACATGTATTGAAACTAATGAAAGGAACTCTTCGAACTCATTATTAATTACTTGTAAGTCACGACAATATGTATCATATAGACTTTAATGAGTATCCTGAAAGAAGTTCGGAGCCTTACCTTATAGTCGCGGGAATTCGGTATTTTTACGGCATTATTTAACTCAATGCTGTGGTCTTTCTAGGAAGCACCAGAAAAACAAATTTTCTAAATTGCGACTTGACATTTTACAGAGAGACAGATTTTAGTAAGAATATCTTATTAGAAAAGTTTGAGATCTTTTTCTTGTTTCTATTCTACAATATGGTTATGATAGAAGTGTCTGTTTTACATCACTCGCATATACCAGCAGACTCGATGTTAATTGAAACTTGCACAATGAACTATTTCCATTAAGGCTTATCTCTTTGCAAAGTTTCGAGTTAAAATTCGAAAATTAGTGTTTTTAATGTTCCGTGACGAGTTACGACATTCAATGAAAAAAATACCTTAAAAATGACAAACAGCCACAACAGTAAGCTAACAGTTCAAACTCGTTTCTCGGGATTCATGTTTAATTAAAATCTACATCGTGTAATTAATCTTGACTGAAAATTGACTAATCAGCTCGAAGAATCTTCCTTATAAAGTTAACTAGGAATCTACTGTTTACATGAATAAAGTATCGAAGAACGCTTTTTTTTTCTTTTACAATAATTGTATTCTTTTGCTTGTTTTTAAAAATCTATATCTTAACTTGAGTTAGGTTAAAAGTATAATCCTCTCGCTTTTTTCTCTTCTCTGAATAAACTAAACGCTATATTGAATAATGATTTATTTAATTGTTTACAATAATATCTAACCTCTTTCACATGCCACTGGTACAAGAATTTTTCCACTTTCAGTTGAACTATCAATCATATGAAAATATTTACTAAATACATTATCAATAAATTCATCCGTTGATCGTTCGACTATAATTTGATAAATATTAAAATGATTATAACCAACTGGTATAGGACAATCAACTAATATTGGATCATCATATAATAATTTGTCAAACGTTTGACAATCAGATTTCATAATTGCTTCTAAAAGATATTTTCGTTTTTCTGATTGTTGATTTAATTGAACAATTTTAAGTGCAGCATCTATATATGACCATTGTTTTTTTAAACGATTTTTCTTCCGAATATATTCAGCTGATGACATATTTTATTTGAATGCAATATCTAAAAATTAATTATGATCCGTTTAATGAAAAGAAAAAGAAAAGTTCTATTGAAGGTTTTATCTAGACAAGCACAAAAACAGAAAGACAAATTAAAGAGTTTCGATTGACTATTCAAAAGAAAAACAAATATTTCTTGTTACACATTTCTAGTTATTGATAGTGATATTATAACCATTAATAAAATTTATAAAGAATTGAGAATGAACACTAAAGATTCATTCCTCGATTTTATTCTTTGATTGAATTATTCTTTTTGTGCATAAATATTTTAACACACTTGTATTCTTTACATAAAGGTTCGTTTTTTTTTTCTAAAATGAGTTCATTGATCGAAACTATTAAACGATCTTCTGATACATTATCTTACTCTACCTTAGCAATATAGGGAAAAATTTGTCACTATAAATTGAGATATCACTTCAAATACCTTAATAATATTCCATCTAATATCTATCCTCTACTTTACTAATTATAGTATACTAATTTATCATAGAGCAAGACAAAAGATGATTGTCACGTAGGACTCCATCAGTTAGACATGCCATTTAAATATTTTGACACTGTCAAATTTATAGAATGATTATATATCATCAGAATGTAGGTAATCATCTTATTTTAAGTGTTTTATAAAGATCAAAACGTTAACTACTTGTATCACTTAATTCAATGTTGTTATGACTATTCATTGAATGAATATCTTCGCTCTCTTTTTCATCATTCCAACATTAAAAAAAGTTTATCTTCATTGAGTAATTTATTCAGATAAAATTTCTCCATAAAAATTGCTAAAATAAAATTACAATTTCTGTAAATAAAAAAAAATAAGCGTTGACTAGCACTGCACAAAAAAAAACAAAATTGACAGAGATTAATAAAAATTTGACAATTAATACTCGATGCACATAAATTATAACTTTATACATCATTTTCAACTAGAGGCATAAAAGAAGATTTTTTGCCTGTTGTTAATGATCCATAACCATTATCTTTTTTATTTGTTGAGGATATTTGAGTTGGAATCGATGAAAAATTTATATTTCGACGTCGAATCGAATCATAACTTTCCGATGAATCTACAGAATCTGATATTGGATTTTTTATTTCCGACGTAATTTGTTCACCATCTGTTGTGCGTTTATATTTACGTTTTAATTGTTTTGAATCTTTAGCATAAAATGCTTGCCATAATTGATTAATAATCTAAAATGAAGTTTTATTAGATTTTATTTTGAAAAAAAAAAAACTCCTATTAACTTACTTCAGTACAAACAAAATCACTTGTATTCGATGATAATAAACGAAGGATAAATATTCCATCTGGTTCAAGATAACCATGTATAAATTCCATATACCATCTTTTAACATATTCAGGTGATTGATTACTAAAATCATTATCACATCTCATTAATTGTAAACGTCGTTTTATATAATTGTATTGTTTCTTAGGAAGAAAACGTATTACCCAAACAATAACATCAAATATAGACTACACACAAAAAGAATGAAACAAATCTTCAAAAGAAAACAAAATATATTAATTAAATTCATTACATACAACTATAAAAACCATCATATACCAAAACCAAATAAAAGTAAAAATCTAAATAATTAATTTTTTAATAAAACAAAAAAATAAACAAGAATTATTATCAATAATATTTACTTGTTGAGAAAATAAATTCAATGGAAGAACACATTGCACAGTATAACGATGTGAATCATTTGGATGAAGAGCTTCTCTTATTTGAAAGTCACATAATGTTACTTTTGGAAAATATCTTGATTGTGTATCCCAACCTAATAAACAAAATAAATCACAGAACTTCTTTCAAATTATTTTACCTCGTCCTTGAAGAATTCTTTTAAGTACTTGTATTCCAAATAGATGAAATTCTTGTCCCAAAAATAAATTTAATAAAAATATTTGACATACAGCATTTGTTATAAATAATGCTTTTGTTGTAAAATAAACAATAATTAAATAATTACCCAAATATTTTCCCATACAAATACATATCGTCATTAATATATATTTTAAATTCATACATTTACTACGTTTATCAGGCTGCCGTCGTGGATCATCAACATATTTATCAATTGTTTCAACAATATATTCCATTAATTCATTTTTATGTTTATCATCTTTTGTTGCTGTATCAACTGATTTATAATTAATAGCTGCATCAACTATATCACGGATATCAATACCACTACGACGTGATAACGAACGCCAAATAATATGTGGAAAATAAAAACAAAATGCTTGAAGAAATAAGATAAATGGTATCCATTGATAATAACGTAATTCCGTTCGACGTCTTTCACGTTCGGATTTTGGCACTTTTTGTTCAAGAGGAATATAATATGTGTTTGATACCCAACATATATCATTGACATATTCCTTAAAAAAAGGGAATATTTTATTTGAATTTTATCAATAATATTAACGAAGGAATTGCCTAATTTGATTCATTGCTTTTGGCCCTGCACTTGGTTGATAGGAAGGAGAGCTGTAAACTAGAAAAAGTGTAAGAGGATATGGATCCATGTTACAATTTGCCTCGAACATGGAAGTTTGAATGAAATTTTCCTGTCAGATCTTGATTTTCTACCAAGAACTCAAGTAGACTATCTTGTATATAAAATTTCAAAATTCTTAGATGTAGCATCGTTGAAATATGAATCTCTCACAATATTCATGTCTTATACAGTATTTACAGAGAAACATCTATGTTTTGAAAATTTCTGAAATTTTATATACTAGCTAGCATAATTGAGATCTTGATATTAGCAAAGTTTCAGGTCAAAATTGGAAATTAATATTTTGTTAGAAAATCAGGATCTACCAGGAAAATCTAAATAAAACTTTCATATCTGAGACAAATTGTAACGTAGATCCATATCCTCATAGACTTTTTCTAATCTATAGTTCTCGTATTTACGGGCAAAGTATGAGACCAAAAGAGTTTAATCACATTAAGTGGTTTCCTTGTTAGTTTTTAGAGAAATAAGAAAAGAATATATAATAATAAAAATACATGAATTGAAACATATTATGCAAATTCCATATTATTTATATATATATATCGGTTTTATTGTCTTTCGAATAAATGTGCGAACTCTTATAAGATTCAGATTCTCATCGAAGATTTATCCGTAAAATAGGTTAAGTAAATGTTTTAATATCATTGTTGTTAAAACACTTAATTTTTTCTGCATACGGAACTGAAAAAAACTAATCTCTTTAGAATATGTTTCTTATTATATAACGTTCTGTACAATATAAATGGAAAAACTGTCTGTTTCGATTACATCTTCCCACTACTGCTATTTCGACATATATTGATACCATCGACATACGACGTGTTATTTAGTCTATGATGAAAATCTCAGTCAAAAATAATGAACAACCATTGAGAAAATGGTAACTGAATCTCACGTACTAGATTGTTTTCAACATGAAACAGAGCAAGAAGTTGATAAAATTCTATGTCACATAAGAATACATTTGTGACAAAGTTGCAATTCTCTCAATGAGTTCTCATTATTTATGACTGAAACTTTTAGAATAAATTGAGTATCAAGTCATATATCGATAGGATAATTATGAATCGAAATAACAATAGTCTGAAGAAGTAATCAAAACAAACAAATTAAGTGTTTCATTTATTTTACACAAAAGAATATAAAGTATTTCGAATCTCAGTCTACAATGATCATTAAAGCGATCCTTTATAGAATGTTTAATTTTATATATACAGTCCTGTACATTCCTTTTTCAAGTTTGTATTTATAGAAAAGTCATTGTAACAAAAAACACATGAAATTAACCAGCATTCGACGATCAGTTAATGATTCTTCGTGACTCTTTTGATTCACTTTCTTTTTTGTTTTCATTCTACGATTGTCTATGGCAATCATATTTTCTTATTCATCGAATTCTTTAGAAATTTTCTTCAATCATATACTCAAATTATACTAACAGTCATCATTATTTACCTCATAATTTTTCGTAAATTGTGCAGGAACCCAACCTATTATAATTTAAAAAGTTTAATAAAAAAAATTCTCTCTAAACTATCGTCACTTACATTGTATATGCTTAGTACTAAATTGTTTATTTGTAACAACAATAGCAAAAAGAACAAGCATAAAAACTGTATATTTATATGAAAGTCGATCAGCAAAACTATCATCACAACGTGATGTATCGAAGATAAGTGACGGTAGACGTGTTACCGTACCAATGCCATCCATTTTGTTTTTATCTGAAAAACAAAACAGATTGTTATGAAAAATCAAACAATAATAAAAAAACAAAAATAATTAGCAACAGCAAGAAAAAAAAACAACGACTAAGAATTATTCGTCATCAATTGTCTTTGATGAATCATTTTCTTTTAATCTGTCTAGTTCTTGTTTTGTTTCAGAATCTAAATAAACCTTTTTTTATTTCCTTGTAACGAGAATATTTCATTAATGGATGAAATGCTGTACTCTTGAAACTAATAAAACAAAAATCGAATATTCAAATGAAAATAATTGAAATGTGTTCTTTGTTTTCGCCAAACACTTTGTAATATCCCAAAATCAAATTCTACACGTGTTTCAACTAATTTCATCGGTCAATCACATTTAACTCATATTGTATCACAGCTTCATTTTTTTCAACCTATTTTAAAATATAAAAAAGATATCCTTTTTGTATTCATATTTATCTTACTACAATTGAACAAGTCGAATAAGCAATATATAACCACTGATTGTTGAATTTTCATTGATTGAATCAATAGCATTTAGTAAAAGTTGACGTTATGCAGTAAAACATCGTTGAATATCTTTTTCATCCTAATTTATTATAATTCATTTTCATATAAATATAATTGTATCTTACTTTAAAATTTTTAACTGTTTTATCTTTTGCTATAACACCTGTACTACTACATGGTGCGTTGACAAGACATCGATCAAAATTACCCATATGCTAAACAAGACGAAAAAGAAAGTTAAATACTAAATTTCCAATGAAAACAAAAAAAAGAAAGTATTTACGTATATTATTTTACATAGTCTATAATGCTATCCTTTGACAAATATATCATATCATTATGGAAATGTAAAATGTCAACATAATATAAAAATATTTATATTTAATTAACAGCTGGTCAATGTATTATAGCTTCATTTTTCTTCTATCTCATTAGTGAAAGTAAACTATAAGTGATGACATATTATTAAATAAAAAACATTATTGACCTTGATGAATTGTAAACAAAGACAAATAATTAAACAAGATCTCTACTATAAAATGATGTCAATTATAAAAAAAAGCATTTAGAACATAGTCGACAAATAATATTGTTTGCGATTTTATTTATTTGAATTGATTTTATTTTTCATTTATACGAATGAAGAAGAAAGTAATTTCCAAATATGAAATATATGAGTGATTAGCAACTTTTTAGTACAAATGGTGTGAAAAAAAATAAAAATAGACGTGAACAATTTTTGAATAGCATATTTGATTATATATTATGTTCATGTTATACAGCAAAATTTTTCAAACATTTTACCCGATTTAAAGTGAGGTACTGATTAAATTAGTTTTGTTCGATGAAAAACTCAAGCCATTTTAGCAATTCTGCATGGCAAGTGAACAGTCAACGACAGCTTATAATGCATTTAGATTTGTTTGTTAAATTGTTCTAAGTTAAACCATATAAAAAAAAAGTGAATATTTTTCAGAGTAAAAGCTCGAGGATTGAAATTATTATTGCTAATATAACTTTATCAACTCTATTCAATCTGACAGTTTCAATAACATCAGAACAACCGTTCGTTAGTTAAAGACCGAACAAGTTTCAAAATTTCACTGTGCAAAGTGGGGAAATATACTATTTTTTGGGTATTTCGATCACTTCTCATCTAATATAGAAATAAGACAAAGAAAACATTTTTATGTGAAAAAAATTATCTATTAATTGATGTATTGGTTTTCTATTGAAATCTTTCCCAGCCTAGAAGAGCCATAGTTTTGTGTCAATATACATAAAATAGAAAAGTGTCTGTCATCAAATGCCGACAGCAGAAGTATACAAACGAAAAGATGTACAGAGCAGTAAATCATATGTTTCGATAAAATGATATCGAAGTTATAAAATGTCCTACTTATATTTCTTTCTTTTCTCAGACAAGAGTCTCATTTTCATACGTCTTGCTTAAAAATGCCATTTTTTCCTAACTGTCACTCTTGTAACTTAAGAACGATACAAGATAGAAACATACAATTTTCTGTGGATGTAAGAGACTACAAGGGAAATAGAATTTAAAAAGCCACTTTAATATTGTTCGATCGAAAAGAAAGTTCTAGCTTAAATACTTGAAAACATCAATCGTCAAAAAAAAAGATTTTCTTCTAAATATGACATGATAAATTTTCAGAACTTTCTTCTATAAAACAGTTTACCTCAAAAAAATCTCGTCCATTAAGATTTCTTACAATTGTATTAACTAAACCTAATCGATATATATTAGGAATACTTGTTTTTGCACGATTTTTATTAGCATCATTTGCTACTAATATACCGCTATTTTGCATTAATGCACTTAAAATTAAATTCTTCGAGTATGAAAAATCTTTTTCATAAAAACAACAAATTTATTCACCAATATAAGTCGTTCTTCCACCAGGAGCTGCTCACATGTCTAATTTTTTTCATTTGTTTGAGGTGCTAATGCCATAATATATAATAAAAAGTTGATGCACATTGTAACATATAATGTCGGCTAAGATATTCAAGTGTTGCATCGATACGTACTTGACTATTATAAATAACAAGGTCAACTTTAACCCATTTATCAAGTAGATCATCGATAACACTTCCATTGATAAGTACTTGAGCCAGATCACAATGACGTGTTTTTTATATCTTCGTGCGAATAGTAACTAGTTGTTGAACTTTATCTGCTTTCAAAAAATCGATTACCTAAAAAAAACAATATTTATTTTATTTTTTTCAAATGATTTTTAATTCTGTTTTTGTTTTACTTCAGCAAGTGACAATAAATTAATAATTTTATTCATTAAAACTTCATTATATGAATAATAATTACATAAATCTTATTTTAGCAAGTCAATATATTCATTTCTTGAACTTAAATATTTCGCATTGATTAATCTTTTTTCTTTTAAAGTAAATAAACCTATCGATTGGATTCACGTTTATTTTTAAAACCATTTAAAATATTAATAACTTCACAAATACGATGCACTTATAATTGTAAATCAGCTTGTAGAGCTAAAACACTAATTTTATTCTTATTTTTATTTTATTTTCTTTCAGCGCACCTTCTCTTGTTGTTAAGTATTAGTTAACAATTCTTGTTCAGAACGTTTTTCGTTTTGACGGTGATTTTCATATCATTTTTTTGGATTGTTTTTCAATATCAAACTTATTGTGTCACAAAAAAATTATTCACAGAAGAAAAAAAAGAAAACTTATTTAACTAACTTTTAATCATCATCATCATATTCTCCTGCTTCTTCACTTGTATCTACTGTATCATTAAATTTATTATTATCATATGGAATATCTTCTTTCATCAATTCAACTTTTTCGTCGTCGTCAAATATTTCCTAAAGATAAATACACGTCAGTATCGTTTGTTAACCCCTTCAGTCCCATAGTAGCAAAAAGGCTACACATATTTTATAATTCTTTTTCACAACAACAATTAATAAAAATTGGTACTTAGTCTATTAGAATAAAATAATATAGAATGCTCTAGGATCCTCCCAAACAATCTGTCAATGAGATATATAGTTATTCATTGGGAAAGTTATGGGATGTTCTCAAACATTTTTTTTTTGAAGTANGTGGAGTTTTGGATGGCATCAAGACCCCTATAAAATGCTACAGAAACCCAAAGACGACAAGATGATACGGCGAGTAAAGGCCGCCAGAAGCGAGATTTGATAAAATCAAGTTTCATAAGCCTTAGCCAGGGCAGACGAGGCTCCCAGCCATGGTAGGCAACTCATCTAGGAGCGAAAACTCAGATGACAAACACTCACCAACCCGCCTAGCCAGCGTGGTGTTTTATCGGCTATAAACCCCCCATGAAAGTACATAAGCTAAATATTGATGCCGGCTCGGTCGTCGCCCGGACAAACAAGGACCGCGTTTGTGATTTCGGCAGTGGGTCACAAATGATAAATAGGCTACAGGTGCCAACCCAAAAAAACAACAAACCAAATCACAAAGCTCCAAGCTTAATAAATATGCATATCTGTACTTACAACATCAGAACATTTAGAGAAGAAGAGAAAAGAAAAGAATTCGAAGAAGAAATATCGAAAATAAAATGGGATATTATTGGTTTAAGTGAAACAAAATGTAAAGGTGAACATCTAATTAAATTAAAAAATGGTCATACACTCTATACATCTGGAAACGCCAATAACAACAAACATGGCGTAGGATTTTTGATACACAAGAAACTTGAAGAAAAAATAATAAGTAAAAAAGGTATAAATGAAAGATTAGCCCAATTAACTTTGAAAATAAATAAAAGATATAAAATGAAAATAATCCAGGTATATGCACCAACAACAAGCTATGATGATCAAGAAGTCATTGAAGTCTATCAGCAAATCGAAAACTTGTTAAAAGAAGAAAAAACCTATTTCACCATAATAATGGGTGATTTTAACGCAAAAATAGGAAAGAAAGAGGATAATAAAGAAACAGCTATGGGCAATTTTGGAGTAGGAGATCGAAACGATAGAGGGAGAATGCTAATTGATTTTGCCCTCAAAAACAATCTACAAATAGCAAACAGTTTCTTCTACAAAAAGCCCCATAGAAAGTGGACCTGGAGAGGACCGAACAACTGTGTCAAAAATGAAATTGATTTTATCCTAACCAACAAAATGAATATCTTCAAAAATGTCGAAGTTCTAAATTCAATCAAAACAGGAAGTGATCATAGAATGGTTAGAGGTAAAATAAGGATTAATACTAAAAATGAAAGAAGAAAATTAATCCTTAAAAAGAAGCTACAAATAAATAATGACATACTCACAACAAAACAAAAAGAATTTGAAACAAAGATTGATCAAATGATAAAAACACAAATCAACCTCAACGAAATGAGTATAGATGAAATAAATGAAACTCTAACAAAAAGAATTGTTGATACTGCAGAAAAACTTGCAAATGAACCACATATAAATCAAAATAATTTTAAAATATCTCCTACAACACAAAAACTAATTGAAAAAAGAACAAAATTAAATGCCAATACAAATCATATAGAGTTCATAGAACTAAACAAAACGATAAAGAAAAACCTACGAATAGAAAAAAGAAATCACAACACAAGAATAATTCAAAACACAATTGAAAGTAACAAAAGCCCAAGGGGGAATCAGCAGAGACTTCAGTCGTGAAGTCTCATGAAGTCTTGTAAGTCTTTTGAAGTCTTCTGAAGTCTCTTGAAGTCTTCTGANACAACAACTACAACTAAATATTGGAAGTATACATACAATGGTTGCTCTTCTAAAATTCATACATTTTTTTTCTATTAACATATGTTAGTGTTAGCATAAAAAATAAAGAACGTCACTTCTATTTCAAGATTTTCTAACAAGAATAATGAGCCATTTTCTTAATGTATATTTTTTCGACATTTTTCCCTTTCGACATTTTTCCCTTTCGACATTTTTCCCTTTCGACATTTTTCCTTTCGACATTTCTACTGCCAACCTTGTCCTGAAAATGAGTGATAGTTGCGTTGTTTTACGGTATTTTCTGTGTCGTCTACTGTAGCCGTATATCATCGTTTACGGCATGACGATTTACGGTCGTAATATGGTGCATAGAAAAACGGCGTAGATACGGCCGTATACGGTCGTTTGTGCTCGTCGTAAAGCTTGACCTGGGAATCTATAAAAAATGGACCTTAAAACTTCTCAAAGAATTGTTAGCAAATTACTTAGAAAAAGTTACAGTGCGATTATGTATGATCTTAGATTGATGATATTATCATATATTCTAATTCAATGGAGTAATATTCGTATGTTCTCATTTGCGAACATCAAGTATAAATGCAAAAGCTGTTAAATTCGATTTCGTTTGTTTTTTCAATTTAAATTATTCAAATTGAACGCAATTTGAAGTCTTAAATTTCTGTTGTTTGCATTCTGAAAAACTTTCTTATATCAATTTTGAAACACTTATTGTATGATGTAAATTATTTTTTCAAATTAGCCGAACATATAAAATTTTCGTTTTTTACATTTTTAAAAAGTTTACTCGTAACAATTTTACTAAATCTTATACCTTCAGTTTGACTTTTATTGAGCTGTAACTTATAGAGTTCTCTAAATATTAAGTCTTGCTGTTTCTATTTACTAAGTTGTAATTTGTAGAGTGCACTAAACTCCTATTCTTTTCTTATTCTTCTTAATTAATTGTAATTTATAGAGTTCACCAGACATAATTATTATCATGAATGTTATGAGCTTTTCTTTAAATTTGAAAATACCATTTAATTATCATTATAACATGGAATCAAATATCGAATTGGAATAAGCCTTTTTCAGGTATAAAGCATTTATATACAAAAAGAAAAATATAGAATATGAGATTCCAAAAAACACTAGTTTGAAATATGAATATTGGTGAGTGGCATCTCTTGATGAACACAATCTCGTTCACTGACCTTACACACGCAATAAAATTGAAATTGCCACTATAAATCATGATTAGAACTCTTTGAAACGTTGCTTTATCTTTGATTAAAATTTTTGTGTATTCAAAATGCGAGTACACTATAGAATCGGTCAGTGTATCCAGCCCTCCGGCCGTTTACACGATAACTTTCGAAAGGAGAGTCCAATCACGATAAAATTTTCTACACAGTTGTGTCTCATCAATATCTCGGTCGGGTTCGAAGATGAGAATGATTCGTCGAGTCATCGCTGAGTTATCGGAAAAAGAGTCATTATTCCCTATGCTTTTCTATGCGAGCATTGACTTATCTCACGTTTCGTAAGAAACTTTTCCTCTCATAATCAAACAAAACCCCAACTATTATATACCATTCTACAGAGAATTTGACGAGCTACAAAGTGGTATATAAAACATTAAGAAGCAAGAAGGTTAAGTCACGTATTGCAAAGATACTTAAATGGGAATTGGCTCTGTTTTTGTCCACGCTCCGATTGATCGAAAAGTAAAGCTCCATCTTCCGATCACAGAGATGATAGTTCGAGGTTTTCTAGGGCGCGGAACTCGAATCTGAGCTCCACTTGTCTCAAAATCCTATTGGTTGAGCAGAAACCAATAAAAATCAAGTTTTATGAAAACTACTTTCTGAGGGTAATTCAGGACGAAGAGTTTAAATCTGAGCTATATTTGCTCCAAAACTCTATTAGTTGAGCAGTAACCGATACAAATCAAGTTTTAATAGAAGGGGCTCGCCAGGATAATTTGGATGCCTACACGTGCTAGGATGACTCATCTGTCCAGTTCACTTTTTTAAGTATACATAACACTCGGATTTAAGCCCGATGTTTCCACATTTATTCTTAGC